TTCCCGTATATATGAATATTTAAGAGTTTAATACAGTTTAGTGGAAGTAATCAGCATATTACATGGGACTCAACAATGCCGATTTTGAACATAAAATTTCAATGAAAACTCCGATAAAATATCGGGGTGCACAGTAAAACACTAATGAAAATGAACATAAATATCATACATAGACAACAAATTGTGATTTATTCAATAACATTAACAAATATCAACAATAAGATGATTAAGCACATTTAATCATTTTCTTTTTAAAAATAGATAACGAGATAATAAATAACGAACAAATGAAATTGTAAACTAAGCTCAAGGCATTTTGGGATAAAAAGAGTTACTGAATATCAGTTCGTTACACCTGTTACGCGGGAGCTTCGTTATCAAGTGCTTTGGTGCATATTGCGATTCGAAATTTTTGGTGTAATTATGGCCTTTTAAGAAATTGTTAACGCCTGTTTAAAAATCTGTTTAAAATGGTATTTATTTAGTATACTGGTATTGATATTTACCTACCGTGTTGCGTGCTCCACTCTAAATTTCAATGTCGGTGTTACTTTGCACAATTATTTTCACTTTCATGCATTACAGGACATACATTGGTGCTTTTTGTGACATTATTTTTATTGAACATTTTGTCAATCACATACCAGATAAAGGCTAGTTATTGTTACCTACCCTTTTCCCACTCTTTGGACATATCTTCGGCATCAATTAAATCAATAGCGTACAGCTTGTCTGACGACAATCTGCTACGCAGTGATCTCCCCTTACCAGTACAATGATCTCTGCCATCACAAACATTTTTTTATCAATATTTTGATATTTTTTATATTTTTCAGCTTTTGAATTTATTTTTCATTATTTTGAACACCTTTGATAATTTTTTGATAAACAATAACGAACGTAGGTACGCAAAGTTAAAAATAAAACAGAAAGAGAAAAAGGACGTTAGATTTTCAATGTAACGGTCGATATTAACATTTGAATTTCGACGTTACGTTATGTGACTTTCGTCATCATGTGGCGTCTGTGAAGGCAGTGATTACAATTCTGCCAAGGGAGGTTATCACTGTGAGGAGTCTATCGAATTTATTCTAAACTTGTTTGGATATCTCACGTACAGATTTCTTGTCCCTTGAACGACATTGAAGTCAACGCCTGTATCGTATGTGTCAGCACTATCTATGCCTCCCCTTGATTTACATGCCTTTAGAATGGAGTAAAAATAAACAACATCAATATCAGCGAAAGGTAACAAAATATTATCAAACGCCGCGTGCACGCGGCGTCTTGTAAATATGCATTCGTTCAGTCAGCAATGGGGAAAATTTAAGTCTTGTTTTTGTTTATTTTTTTTTGTTCTAACAAAATTACACAGCTTTCAGATTGTCGGATAAAATAGCTTTTCTGATAAGCAACACGTCCCCGAGCGTCATGGAATAACATAAACGTTTAACAAAAGTGATACTTCCATGTTTAAATATAACAATCTTTTAATAATAAAAATAATAAAAAAGGATTGAATTGAAAATTTTAAATCTATTGTACAAACATTTAATTATGCCTCGGCCAGACGGGGAGTATTTCTTGACACTGTAGACTAGGTGGATTTTGGTATTTGTTTTAGCCCCAATGTATTATTTTGCGGCGTCTTTGATATGCAGCATCACGATTTAACTTGTCTTCATCTAGGCAGCGATTAAATTATGAGTTGTATACCAGGATACGGTCAGTTTAATGTTAAAATTAATTACAAATGTATCTTACAAGTTTAAGTCTTTACTTATGTGACAACTAATGAAATCGCTTAAAATTTGGAAATTTTGTCACTCATGCATTATCATAAAATTGGACAAACAAATAGTTACAATACATAAGTAATTTTACTATTTTAAAGAATTATTTACCCAATTAAACATCAGTAATTATTTTTGAAAACGATTGATACATTTAATATAAATGTGCAGATAAACCAACGGTAAATACCACCGCCGAGTAAAGATCACTCTTCAACAGTCTTCAATTGTTAACAAAACAGATAATAAAGACACATTGTCTATCAAGGCCATGTTTGGTCTCTCCATTGGTGGCCTTTGTTCACCGGCTTGACTATATATTAAAAAGGCAATAAAACATGACATTGAATAAATTGTATATACACTTGTATAAAAAACATCTTTGGTTTTCCTTTCAATCCTCCTGAATCATTGAATATATCAATTAATTCATCGACATAAAGACGAACATTATTCTCCTCCAATACTTGGTGCCTCTTTTGATTGTTTTCGGTCTATTGCCTTCTTTGCTTCGTGTCCGTGTGTACTTAATATAAGTACAAAACAGTCACAATCTTTGTTGTATGTGAACTTGCTGGCTGGAATAAAGATAAACCAATCAGTCACGTAAATTCATGTACATAAAGATGATAGATGATATAAAATTTAATACTAGATATAAGGTACCTTTTCAGGTCACCTAAACCCACACATAGGATGAAAATGTAATGTCTTGATTTTGATATTCAATATAATGCCTTGATCAAATGACCAAGTGAATGCCTTAATAGTTTGACCAATACAACGCCTTGATTAAATGACCAATCGAATGCCTTGGTATTTTGGCCTATAGAATGCCTTAATTAAATGGCGAAATGGCAAAAAAGCATGCATTGATCACATTTTGTCTTTATGACCTATAAATGCCAAGATTTAATGACCAACAGTTGTTATGATTTAATAACCGATAGAATGCCTAGATTTAATGACCAACACAATGCCTTGATTAAAAGGCAAAACGAATGTCTTGATTAAATAATCAATAAATTGCCATGATTTAATATCAAACATTAAGACCAATACACTGTATCGACAAGCCCGTCACGTGACTATAGAGGGTAAACATACACACGGCTGCTGTTGAAAATACTACACTTTACTATGGAGAACAAGTTAAATGTTGATGCTGCATATCAAAGACGCCGCAAAATGATGTGAACAGTCACAGGTTATGTACAAAACCAGCAAATTGTTCTCTGCAGTTGAATATCCGAAGGAGAAATCATTTTTTGGGTTTTTTTTCGGTATGTGCTGCTTGTTTAATAAATGAAGACGAAAACAATCTTGAGAACAACAGTGTGCCGGGAATCGAACCCGGACCGTCTGGGTCTACAATCTAATGCATTTATTCGCAAAGTAATGCCATGTCAGAAATTCTGAATTCTCAGTAAACAATGTTTGTCTGTTTTGACAAAGATTGAAAGGTCTGCTCCAAGCAAAATAAATTGGGTAACAAATAAAAATGAAATGATTGGTATACTTAAAATAAATTGAAGACAAAAACAGAGGCAGAGAAATAAACTAGTTTTTATTGAACTTTTAAACGTATTTTTGTTGTTATTAAATGATTTGTATGAATGAAATAATAAAGAATGAAATGTTTTGTAATGAAATATTACACGTTTGTTCGGTAAATATGGTAAATTAACCAAAAGTATATACTGTATAGAAATAATGCATGCTAAAATAACCAAAGAAGGCGACTACGACAATAAGATTTGTAAACATGGTTCATGTAACATCCGGTGATAATATACCTCCATGCAATTTCATCAAAGATATGAATTCTTGACCAAAAGAAGGTCATTGTACGGCGGCCGAAGAGAACCTAAATGTACAGTAACGTGGAACAAAAAAATAAAAACCTAAAAATCAATGTGACGGACTGAATTTCGTGAAAGTGAAAGTACAGTGTCGTTTAAACTTTCTGTATGTTACTTCAAAAGCAGTCAATGTTCTTATTATGTCGATATACATATATGTATATGAAATGTTTACCTGTGATTTAGGTTAGATCAACGATCAATTAAATCTATACTAATATGGGCGCATCAATAAAAAATTGACTCTTTTATCTGTGTAACGTCCTTATTTTAGATATTCGATAAATTAAATATCATATTTGTGTGGATTCAATACTTAATTAATTGAACTCTTTAATTAACAATATTCTCGCCATAGGCTTGCACAATATGATTTTATTCAACTCGTTCAATAAATTTAGTACTAAATCTACACTCATTGAATATCCTCTATATATGTTATTTCATTAAATGAGAATTTTTAGTGTGACTTAAAGTTTTATTTGGGACCAAACAGTTTTAAATCTAATTTTAATCTACTTTTAATGATGCATAATTGTTAATATTTGTTTATTTTGTGCAATAATAAATATATGTTATGTCATACATTTTATTTATGTTTGTGTATCTTTTAAAACAAATGTCAAAATAGGAGTTTGTGGTCTCTCTATAATTTATTACTTCTCACTTTTTACATCGCTTGCTACACTGAAAATGCATCCTTTGATTTAAATGTAGAACACAATGGTTCAATAGTTTTTTTACTTCATAAAGCTGATTCTTTTAGTCCATCTATTTTTTTCTACGTAGAACGCGCATGCGCGAGATATCAACGGCGTTGATATGGATTTTGTAACTATACACTAAGTATGTTACGTATCATTACAACCCACTGACTTCTCCTATGCTTTATATAAGAAATTCGATCATACAATATATTCATATCATATGTTTTAAAGGTATTCTTCTTTACTACAACTACAACGTCTAAACTTCCAAGTATACATCCGGGCAATATTGAATAAAGAACAAAGGGATGATAGTAACTGAAAGCTATGGCTTTGAATAACACTACTATGTTAATTCAAAATGAATTTTTGTTACAATTTATGCCTTACCAACAACTTTATATATACTGCTCAGCAAAGGTCCTTGCTAGCCATGTTACTGCGTGCATGATATTTGCTTTTATCGTTTAAGAGGTTCTCTCTACATTCAGTTGTAATTTGATAATAAATTTGCACTTACACAAACATGTAAGAAAACTTACAAATACAAGCCACTCGCATTTGTTCATGTATTTTAATTGTAGTGACTATTTATAGAGTATATATATCCATGTTATTATATCTACAATAAATAATGCTGAATGTAAACTTCTCGTTTATTGAAAAAAAAAACGACTAACTCTAGACGTGCAAATATGCTTATTGGTAAATAGTTTAATTTTTTATCGTATCATAAGTTCATCTTTGGGCTGATTGTTCTTCTTTTACTCCACTTCTCCTTCTAGTCTATGCTTAATGAGGGTCCATCCGCCCGTAAGGGCACAAAATGCAGTATTCGCTGTCGAAGACGGACTCCAAACATGTCACCAGTCATGCCCTTAAAGAGTTAATTTTGAAGCACAAAGTGGTAATAACTTACCTCTATGCAATTTCCATGAATTATTAGCCAAATATATGAATTTTAAGCCAAAAGTAGGTCACTGTACGGCGGTCAATGAGAACCTAAATGTACAGTAACCAATTACACTCCACTTGTTTCTACATTTGTATTTAAAAACCTGGTATCTGTCTTTCACTTTATTGTCACTGATAGTTTTTTTATAAGCATGACATTCATTGATGTCTATTTATAGTCTTAATACCCATTTCAGGCTCGTCACCTAGCAGTGTTTTTCTCCCCTCTCCCTCAACACAATCGTATTGCATTCTTCTCATCTCTTCCATTTGCATCCGTTTGTCACCTAGCATTTTTTTCTTCCCCCCACACAATCGTGTTGCATTCGTCTCATCTCTTCCATTTGCACCCGTTTGTCACCTAGCATTGTTTTCTTCCCACCCACACAATCGTGTTGCATTCTTCTCATCTCTTCCATTTGCTTCCCTTTTAAAGATCCAGTCTGAAGAAAAATAAAAGTAATTTATATCTAATATATAATTAACAAGAGCACCGGGTGAAGACAAAGCTCGACTTTTTTTAAAAAAATTTCTAAAAGCAAACACAAACCTTTCTCCCTCCAACACAATACTGTTGCATTCTTCTCAACTCTTCCATTTGCTTCCGTTTGAAAAATCCAATCTGAAGAAAAATGAAAATAATTTATGTCTAATGTGTAATTTACAAGAGCCACCGCAGGGCGGAGGTAACGCTAGACGTTTTTACTTTTTCTAAAAGCAAACACAAGCGATTTAAAACAAATCTTTAAAAAGAAAATTAAAGACAAAAAATAGAAATGTCTAGTCACACTTGTTGTTTTGTCCAAGTATGAATCCTTTCCATAAATAAATGACCAAGCTAAGAAAACATGATAAAAATTTAATCATTTGACGGTGAAAGTCATTTAAAGGTCAATGGCTATTTAAATCATTTCACATATCTGTTTGTGTTGTTTAGTCCACGTATGAATCAAATCGGTACACAATTAACCAAATGGTTAAGGTCATTTAAAGCTCAAAGTCAAGGTCAAGATCAACCTTTTAGAAGGTCTTGACTAAAAGGTTGTTTTGTCCAAGTACGAAAATAATTCATTGATTAATAACCAAGTTTACCAAGCCAATTATAGCAATAATAAGTAAAAATCAAATAATTTGACCTTCAAGGACAAGGTCATACATGAGTCAAGGTAAATTTTAGTTTGATATACATAAAGGTCCTGACCTAAAGATGTTGTGTCTAGATATGAAGTTCATCAATTTATAAATAACGAAGTTATCGCCAGTTACAGAAAAAAACCCAAGAGAACTTCATTAATTTCACCTTGACAGTCAGGGTCAATTTTCAGGTCAAGGTCACATCTAATTTATTCAATATGTTTGTTTGGTAGCAAGTTTTGTTTTGTCCAAGTATAAATCAAATTCGGACATAGATAACAAAATTATGACTATTTAACCAAAATTCAATTATTTGGCCTTGACGGTCAATGTCATTTAAAGCTCAAGGTCAGTTCAATCTTTTAGAAGGTATTCTTTAAAATGTAAATTTTGTCATAGTATTAAGATAATACATTTATTAATTACACGTTAAATTTAATTATAGCAAAATCAATGAAAATTTAATAATTTAACCTTCAAGGTCATGGTCATAAAGAGCTAAGGTCAATTTGAGTTTCATATACATGAAGCGATATCCTAAGTAATATGAAGTCAATCCATTCATTAATAACATAGTTATAGCCAGTTACAGCAAAAGAAAAAATCAATAATTTGACCTTCAAGTACAAGGTCCTTTATTAGTTAAGCCCAAGGTTTCTGCTGAACTTAGAGGTTTATTCTAAAAGATTACTTTGTTCAAATTTGAAGACAATCCATTCAAAAATAACAAAGTTATAGAAACTTATAGCAAAAATCAGTAAAATAATCAATTAAAACTTAGACATTTGACCTTGAATGTCAATGTCATTAATGAATGAAGGTCAAGTTTAGTCTGGTCAACTTAAAGGTCTTCTCTATGGGGTTGTTGTGGCAAAAAATGAAGACAAGACACAGAGAAATTTAAAAAGTTATGATCAATGTTAATGCTTGAGGACTGCAACTGAAACGGCAACGAAGCCATCACATTAACAATACCTCTTATTTATTTATTTTTTCATTTTTTTTTTTACTAAAAATTACGTTTATAAGTAGTTTTGTCTGTATTAGTAAAACGTGCATATCGGTCGTTATCTTTCATTATCTTTTTCATAGAAATATGCAAAATAATTGTTTTTGGCTGACATAAGAGTATGTAGAATAACAGCGTGTTTTGTGTTTGCCTGGTGATTTAAAGAGTAAACTTGTCAATTTACCAAAAAATGTTTCAAGGATAGGATGAGCCAGGGATATATACATTCCTGGAAGGACATAAATTCTCATTAATTCTTATTAATTCATTCCTTTACTTGTTAATACATGTATATCGGTCGAAAGGACAATTAATGCATTATTTTGATAGTTTACGTGTTTGAATATTTTTCTTTATTTTTAATTTCTATTCGTGTTGAATTGTAAAATGACGCTACCTTCCATAGAATAATTACGATAAGCACATCAATAAGAAGTCCACCCAGTACGCTGAGCAAAATTATCCACCAGGGTAGACGTTGAGGAGGCGGCGACCATTTAGGAGTCGAGGACACTGACACTGGCAACAGATCCGAGTATACCTGTGAGCAATATTTTAGAAACGGTATGCGAATATCCAACACTATTTATAAAATGCCTTAGATATAAGTGTGATGTACCAGGGTATTATATTTGAAGTTCGTGTGTGTAGTAATACAAGAACATTCATTTTTCACATGTATAAATATTCTGAATAAAATATGTTTAAAAGCACATTCATGTTAACCTTTTGAGTTATGAAACGAAGGCCATTACATGCTAAGATATAAGTATTGCTGCACAAAGAATGAAAATAGGCAACATGGAAAAATAATAAGACATCACATTGTTTGATCCACCATAACTTTTAATAGGATAGTATATAATATTCTGCCATTTCGTGTGTCTTCTAAAGGTCAAATAGGTGTAAACATGACCTGGAGCGACAACAAAAATTTCACTTTTCATTCGTAATTAGATAAGATTTGTAATAAGGAAAGGGGTGATGTTACTTGGCCGAGTTTTCGAAATTCAACAAATGGAAGGATATCAAATACGTACCGATTCGGATTGTTCGGAGGCATCAGTTATCAGCCGACTGAGATCCAAGAGTCTAACATAAGCCTTTGATCTAATCTTTATGGCACCGCCATCCTGTTGTTAAAATGTGACAGACAACAAAAAATTATGTATGGTATGTTAACTCACATATCTCAGGCTTCTTTTAAAGTAAATAAAGATATACATGTACATGTAAGTGCCTCGTCACCTAGTCACCAAGGACTCTGTTCAATACAAGATCATACAGTACAGACACTCATGATTACTCGCACTCACTGTAACCTTTTAAGAAGTGAGGAAATCGGTGCAAGTGTGACATTTATCTCACACAATAAAGACGTATTCTTTTATAATTGCTCAAAATAATTGTCGGATTTATTAATTACACATTAATACCTTTTTTTGTCTCATTCGCATACATACTTTTTATACATTTATTTTATAAATATTAACATAAACACATGCATACGACCATTCTATGACAGTATATCAATGAGAAACATAGTCAAGACATATTTCAGTTAGACGATAATCAAATAGTACGATTACAATGTATATAAATATAATGTTAAAAGTTAGGTTACCATCAATAATCGGAAATTAAAAACTGCCCTAAAATATAATGTTAGAAACTGAGAACTGTAAATCGAAGTCCTTACTCGAGTATAGTGTAAAACATTTTAAAAGATCGTATGTATGACAAAAAAGCTTACCAATAGCGTCGAGGGAAAATAAATTTGATAAGCTATAATGGTACCTTGCTTATTCGATCAGAGGAAGATTATTTTCTAACAAATAAATACCATTTGTAATTAAAAGTAAGATTGGAAGAATACATTTGCATACCGATACTTTATCCAATATATCTCCCGAGGCAACATATTCTAACGTGACCACAGCACTCTCTCTTGGTGGAATGTCATAGAGATTACATTCATATCTGGAACAGTCTCCCTCTGCACAATCCTGAACAATTAGATTATACCGTATCATGTGTTGCCTTGGAAACATGTATCTTACATAGCATTTTGTAATATTGGTTGTTTTTATCATATCGGATCATGCGACGACCAATACAAGAAAAATATTGGACGGTCATGAGGTTCAACCGACATTTCGCTGGCTACACAATTATGTTTTATATTAATACAGGAAACATCTCACAAAACCATATCAAAAACCCCATGTCAATCAATACTTTTGTCTTGAAGCATTATCAAATATAACGAAAGATATTCAATATAAATAAAAATAAAACACAAAACCTAAATTTATCAGAATTTACCAACATGTACTCGTATTACTGATTTAAAACTTTAAAAACTTTACAGTACACCCAATGATACGGAAAGGAAGAAGAAAATACACACAATGTTTTTCATGTCAGCAACAGTTTTAGATTCCCGAATATTCTTATCATTTTCTTCAAGCGTCTCGAGATATGTAGGTCCCATACTAGCGGCATGTACGACAGGGGTGGTGTTGGTCGCGTCCGGTAAAGAACAAAACACTCTACACGGTGGTGGGCAGCTCCACTGACAAATGCAAAATAAAAATCACAAATGGGTATACTAGCATTTTCTTTTTTCAATTTTTGCATCATAATAATTGAATGGAAGTGGTTCCATAGTAACTGATATAATTACAAATATGAGGGTTGATATTTAATAGCCGACACAATAACTTTTACAAAGAAGAGAGTCTTTCACACAACGGAACTACAAACAAACATGCATCCAATCTTTTAAACTTGATATTATTCATAAGGATGGTGTGAATCTCCATAGCAACAAATGAATATATTCTTACATTGGCTGTATTAAGATAAAGGAGAGGTGAGCCGCCCTGTTGGATTTGCGGGTATAATATCAGGAGTGTCGATGTGGGCAGAGAACTCGGTCCTTTATTTCGTAACTCGTATGTGTGTGATATCAGATATTTCCTTTCCTTGTCTTTTATTGTTAGGGGTATAGGTTTTGATATCCTAAAAAAGATGAAACATTTATTACAGTATTTGACAAATTTCTCAACAATACTTTTTGAAGTTTCGAAGAAATGTCATTAGACAATAGTCTGATAAAGACTTCAGGTGCTGATCCTGAAACGCTATTTCTTTGTAAATATGAATTAGGGTTCATTTTTGTGTATCATTATTTATCGAAAATGGTTGAAAATCATTATCAATTATTTGAAAAGCGTCTGTTGAATGCTGATACAAATTTGTTGCTCCTGGTCACACTAACTGCTTATTAATATTAATTGGGCTCCGTATGATATTTTGTCAAACAATGGTGAATATCGATCTCAGATAATGCCAAAATATGAAATATGTTCACAAACAGTGAATGAATTACTCGAAATATGCAATGTAAAAATCAAATATAATTATTTACGAGAAACATCGATACAGCTTACCCCGTAATGGTGGTTGCCACTTGATTTCTAACTTGTACATTGATAGTTTTCACGTTATCTGCTGGTACTAATTCCGTACTTAAAGTGGTAGCATTAAGTTTAAACTCCAGCTTAGTGTTGTTGATCGGATCCGGTACAGACATACTTAACTGAAACCTGTAAATTATGTTTGTATAAGATGTAATGTCATAATGTAAAATGTAATAATTCCTATCCCGTACCGGATTATTTCGATGAAAAAGTAGGCATCGGATCATGAAGTTTGGTGTAGTCATAGTCAATAAGACCATGGGAAACCTGTCTGGAAAGGTAAAGAGGTAAACAACACTGACTGTTGGAAATGACAGACTCGGTTTAACTGAGTTTGTATATGAGCGAAATGCCCCATGCCCCCGTGGTACCGGCTTATGTTGTATTTAAACCTCAAAACAAAATGTATTTGTAAGACACTACCCCGAAATACCCCTCACTGAGATGAAGTAGGAGGCAACGTTTTGCAGTTGTCACACAAATCTGTACACGTGCTGTTGTGAGAATAAAAATTCTGACAGGGGAGATTCCCCGGAAGCAGAAAGAAAACAAAATTAAGTCAGTTGAAAATCGCATTCTTATTTCAATTTGATCATGTCATGATAATTGTCATAAAAACAACAGATAAAAAATAAATATAGCTTTTAGAAATGACGGTAATATGCATTGCCCCACCATGTGTATTTAATTTTAAGATTTCAATCCCTTTCCCTTGCTTGAACCGACTTGAAGTGATTAATAGTTGTGACTTTGCCACATGAGTAAAGCTAGACAAGTCTGCACATCTTTTCTGTCTGTTTGCCGACTTACTTTAAAGAAGTTGGTTAATCCATTTCAGGCACATGTTTTCAGAATGGTTATCATAGAATATAATATATTCAGGGTTACCAATAAAATTAAAGGACATCTTTATACCTTACTCCATTGTTAGCATACAATGGATTCCCGAATGAACATGCCAGTAATAATTCGTTTTCTGTTATTTTTGGGATATTTCTTCTTTGTAAATAGTCGAGGGATTCGATATCTTCTTCATCAGAATCGTCAGTTCCAAAATTAACAAAACCACAATTGATCTCCGAGTCCCCATACACCTTGGTAACCTTGAAGAAAACAAGTTTAAGATGACAAGACATTGTTTGTATATACTACAATAAACTTCTTATAAATACAATGGTAGGATACTACGTCGTCGCGCACCTGCTGAATGCAACCACACGGACAAAAATCCGTCGACTCGAAGGTAAAAAAATCATCAATAAATCTAAAAACTTTTTTTACAATTATCTCAAAGACTACATATATTCTTTGGTCGCTACATGATTTTTTTAATACTCTTACTATTTCTTACAATAAAATTGTATTTAACCTTCGAGTCGACGGATTTTCTGTCAAGAAAAGATCCGAGTTGGAGAATTCAGGAGGTGCGCGATGAGGTATTATCCTTCCATTAGTAAGAGTATCAAAAGATTATGTATCGCACCAAAGAATAGCTATAGTCCCTGAGATAATAGTAAAAATGTTTATAGATTTATTTCCTGGTTTAGTCCTGAAAACGGGATGACTAATTTTTTCTGAATGCTCCCACCCGGACTTTTCCCACAACTTATAAGGAATAAAGTTGAATACATTCTTCAAAAATATTTTTGACGTACTGGAACATAAACCGAGTCATTTTATACATATTTCTATTTGGTTTTCAGTTTTTCTTAATTTATGTTATAAAAATGGAAAATGCTCCCACTCGAACTCGATTTAGTCATGTTTACACATATTTCTATTTGGTTTTAAATATTTCTATTCAGAAGTCAGTTTTTCTTAAATTATGTTATAAAAATGGAAAATGGTCCCACTCGAACTCAATTTCAGAGAAGCTCCCACTTGGACCTAAATATATACAGATTTTGAAGGCACATTGCTGTGCTAAGACATTATTATCCCGTTTCAAGGCCTAAACAAGGCAATAAAACTATTAACTTTTACAATCAATCTCAAGGACTTAATCCATTCTTTGGTGCGCTTTATGTTTTTTTTTGGATACTCTTACTATTTCTAATTTAATTGTATTTTACCTTCGAGTCGACGGATTTTCTGCAAAAAAAAATGACCCCAGTGGGAGCATTCAGCAGGTGCGCGGTGACGTAGTATCCTACTATTGGATTAGGATTTAAAGAATTTCTACCGTTTTTAAAAAGATTAATTGATAATGCACCATATGCACCAAAGTCCGAGTATGTTTGTATAAAAAAAAAACAAAAAAAACCAAAACACAACAAACAAACGTTTCTTACCTTCTGGTATTGAAGAGTATTCGGAAATGCTATAAAGAAGTTAGAGCTGTAACTAGGATCTCCTTCTTTCAAGATGCTAACATCTATAGTCAATGTGGATGCGCCGATAATGAAATAGTCTTCGGATGTGCCATAGTCAGCCTTAGCTTTAAGTCGTAGATCCGTCTTACATTCGATATTTGGACAATCTTTTTTAAAGTAAATCTAAAAATATACATTTTCACAAACATCTCCGTATATAAGAAACAGCAATTCAAATGTAAATGAGCCGATTTACTTCTAATAAGATCAAATAATGATTATTCTAAATTGCAACAGAATAATGACTACAAAACAGTGAATAATTGGTATAATTCAAATCAAAATATTTGTGCTTAGCTTGTTGAATTTCTTGCACATGTATAGATAGTTAATGCGAATTTACATTACACTAACAGTATGTCATATCTGAACTAACAGCGTGGAATACTAAATAAACAGCTACTTGCATATCATTTTAAATCCATGAACACAATTCATATAATATTGGAACATGTTCATGACATGTTTGAGTGGCAAACCAATGCAAGTCATATTTCATTTGAGTTCACCAGACCTAAATCCTTGATGTTTTTGATGATATTAGTAGTTGACACAGATATTTTTTCTAACATAATCTAGTAAATCCTCAAGTACTGATAAACGGACACTCAGTTACAACAAACTATGAGGTTTAATTGGAAGTGGCCTTTACCTTGAATAATCTCGTTCAAACAAAGTTATTTACGTAGAATTTAAAACCTAAGCCTAAAGACTGTTTTGTTAGGGTCACCCTACCCTTCGCGATTCGTATTGTAGAGGCATGGTACGGAATGGTTTAATCGCCGCACAATAGAAGAACTGCCGAACGTCGGAATTTAGAAATAGAACGTACAAGATGACATCTGAAGAGTAAAAAATGATTTATTGTGCCATTCGGTGACATTATCGGAGGTTTCAATGTCAACATCTGACAAAGGCCCATGTATGATTTTCAAGGACAACAGGATATGAACATTTTCTCCGGATTTAGATTTTCAGAACTGATTATGATTAATAAAAATCAAACCTACTCTACCTATTCCTGGAGAGCATGTTTATCCTTACAACACAATTTTTAGGCCTTATGAATACACTTACAATTTTAGTTGATATTAGTATCTGCTTGTCTGGGGTTTCTCCGTCGAATTTATTGATAGTGGGCTGGACACGAGCACTCCCTGGTATGCTCAATACTTCATAACTGGCTTTCATTCGAACAGGTGTCACCAAGTCGGATGTTGACTGTATAATTAATAAATAATTGAAAAACAATCGACAGTTTAAAGGTCGTATGTGTGAGTGAACAAATTGCAATATGAACCAAAGGTTTCTATATATTTTCATGCATTTTGTAAGTTTATAATATCGTTTTATAGATGTTTTCATAAATTTTCAATTTTTATTTATTTATCATTGTCCAATGTCGTGACAAGGTGCGTTTAAACACTTTTGGATTTTATTTTAATTAGTAATTGGGTAAAATAGTTTTAAAAAGAAAATATGTCATATGATTACCTTGATCAGAATATCCTTATCACCAATACATGATCTACCCCCTGAAAATATCTTCTTTATAAAACTATCCACATTGCCTCCATTAGACTGAAAAGCTATTCTGTTATACTCCCACATATAAGTGTCTAACTCTAGGGTTACATTCAGTTCTGTAAATTACAAAATCACGAACAATAATAGCAGGTTGTGTAATTTTTTCATTTTCTTTGCTTTGATGTGTTACTTATTGTATCATTATAAAAAGGGCTGAACGTCTTAATTTGGTGGCCATTTTGATGCACGATGCACGATTTAAAGATATAATCTATGAAATTCTAATGATAATTCTAAAATTACAATAGGAGCATTTAATTATATAGATAAAATATCTGCCTACTGATCTGTAACGATTTTTTCTTGTTTTTTTGTTGGTTTTTTATTTTTGTTTTTCATAAACAGTTCTTACTTATTTATTTGAAGGGTAATTTTATTTCTGTTTTTTTTTCATAAACAATTCTTACTAATTTATTGGTAAAGTATTTATTTTAACGAGGCCATGTAGCTTCCATGAAATTATTATCAAATCTTTAATTTTTTATAATAATTATTTCAACAACTTTAATAAGCACATGTTTATAAATACTATAATACATGGATTCCATTCGGACAATACACAAAATACATGCTGTAATTTCTTGAAAGATATTTATTTAAATTCACACACAATACAGTACATCCATGAACATGATTTTAAATGAATTGCTTGTCAATAAACACGCAACAATTATGACAATAAATAATTGTACTTAAAATCCATTTGCATGAACACATTACATCAGTACAATAACGAGTACGATTCTAGCGCAAAGAGTGTCAATTGAAACAAAAGGATAATAATACACTGTATTTAATATAATTAACGATTCTAGCGCAAAGATTTGTCAATTAAAACCAAAGAATAGTATTTTTTTGTATAAATTCTAATTTCAATGTTAATGTTCAATTACCAATAGTGTTGAATTGCCTGTAGATGTAGTAAAAGCAAACATTGGCCCTGAAACAAGGTACGACATCTGTACCAGATGTAGATGGACATAACTGGGTGGTATCTTTATCTATCTGGCTGACACTGGGCACTAGTGAAATTTCTATGTTGATTACAGATTGACCGAACAATATATATGCTTTATCAGAGAGGTATGCCCCTACTGCTATATCTGAAATTAAAGGTAAAAAAATCACGATTACTTTTTTAAATTGTTTGTTGTTTTTTTTTGTTCTTTTTTCTTTGTTTTTTTTCTGTTTACTTAAAGGCTCATTATGCCTCCGAAACGTTTTCTTTTTATTTCTCAAATGCTTTTTAATGTCGATGTACTTTAATAGTCTCAAAATAATTACTAAATTACATAATGACAACCTGAACCAGCTTATTCGATGTTGTTTATTACCATTTAGTACTGTTATAGTGAATAATAAGTATTTTGTATGAAACTCAAAATACTGCTTTGTTCACATTATACTGATAGTTTCACATTTGTGATAACTTTTTTCAGGTAACAAACATCTAGCATTTCTAAAACCATTACTTAAACATTTTAAAATTCATGTTTGCCCTCTCTAAAGAAGTAAAAATTTATTTGTTCCTGAGGCATAATGTGCCCTTTAAATGGGCTTGTCGGTTTAAGATTCACTTTTAGCGTTAAGAACCTTATATTTTAGAAGCTATAGTCTTTTTGTTCAAAGAAAGCCAAATGTACGGGTTAAAGTATGCTTGTTGTACTGATGGGCACAACGGGGTTTTTGTGACCTTCTGTCGGTTGAAATAAAAAACTGACACAAGTGAATCATGTCCGGCGTTTCTCAAAATTAAGCAAAAAGTAAAAACCATGAAATTAACATATACTGAAACAAAAAAGAAACTTTCTCCAAGTTTGAATGTAGATATGTTAGTACAGTATTTCAATCCTTTTGAAACTCGATTTTTACGTTGAATAAACATATCGAGCTTTTATACGGGGATTAGCTGACCGATTTTGCAAACAAAACGAGTTTTACAAGCTACTACATGTATATAAGTGTGTACATCTAAGTGGTACCCTTGAACAACTGGCACATACTTTGCGAAAGTTTCTTTTTTGGTTCAGTATATTAACTTATTTCTCATCAATTGTGATCAAGAATATACTCTGCAACTAAAATCGCAAATATGTACACTGGCTAAAGTGCACTTAGTTTTTATCTTAGGTCAACATGATGGCTCTGTCATAATAATTATAACAAAGATAATGTAAACGCCAGGTAACAAAAGAGCTATCTCTTTAGGAAATATCCGAGCTAGTGCATGCCCCCGATATTTAGTGTCAACAGAGGTAAAGTGTTGTCTTATTTTTTTGTAAACTCGCACCAAATACCGAAAATCAAAGACTGATATACCTTTGTTGTTTACCAGGCGTGATGAAGAGATGTAGAAAAACCTAGTATGCTAAAATAGCTTTTATAATGCAAATAAGGAAATTCTGCTAAACTGATTATAAGATATTTAATAGCTTACCATTTACACCATCATTGTCCATGTCTACTGCTTTAGAGAAAGAAAATCCAAACGACCTGAGTTCATCGCGAAAAGAGTCTGCCTCAATTCTTTGTGAAAAGTGAGGCCACACACCCGTTTTACAACCATTATATATATAGATGGCGCCTCTCAGGTCATCCTCATAGGGGGCGCCAATCACTATATCTAAAAATAGCAGCAAATAAACACATAAAAATATACACCAAATCTAAAAATAGCAACAGCAAATATGCAACATCAAATTTACACACAAAAAAGTAAGAATTTTGAACGACATTGAAATGAAAAAACTGCGTTCACCATTAAGGCCATTTTGGAATACGTTTAATGTGGAAAAAACCCATAGGCTATAACAAAACCATGGCCATATAAGCCTAAAAAGATATATAAATGTGAAAACATTGAAAAGGGTTAGAAAACATGATCATATCACTTAATTAATATACATACCGTTATATTTGTCTTTACTTATATCTCCTAAACTAGCCATTGCAGTGCCAAATCGCGCACCAGAACTGTCACTTCCGGTCAAAGTATATGTCATAGGTTGAAAAGTCTAAAATAAGCAGAATGTGTTGGGACCAATATAAATCAAAACATTGGGAATAATTATAAGTTGAGCCGTCCGGTTAGCTCAATATGTAAAGCGTTGGACTGTGAATCGGGCGCAGCGGGTTCGATTCCTGGACGGCGCAGGTCACTTTCGTTGTGATTGATCATGAAATATTTTCTACGGACATTCGCACTAAACCTCTGCTCTGGCATGTACAGAAGTTTCAGTTTCTTGCGAAAGTGAAGGCAACTAGTACTGGTAAACTGCTTGACAGCCTGCTCAGGAACGATGCGGTGGTTGAACTGTGCTCTGGTAAATTCAATGTGGCTTACTGTGTGTTCTGGAGTGAAAACTACCAACACCACAACCAATTATAAGTTGGCGTATTTAAAAACTACATCTCTTTATAACATAATCTTTTTCAAAAACAATATAAATCGAAATAAAATCGTGTTTCTTACTACATGTATATAAAAGTGTATTTTTTATATTCAAACCTTTATTAATGCCACTGGCAACTCACTTTATTACATAAATGAAATTATACACATGAAAACAAAATAATGCTATGAATCATTAAATCTCTCTACCTTACAGTAAGTATGTAATATCAAACAATTATATCGAACTCGTTCCCAGCTACCTTACGGCATAATACAGCATGTCGATGGTGCTAATTATATCTCTTAATTATATTTAAAAAAAAAAAAAACAACAACAACAATATGTGGCGCAGGGGTGGCCTAGTGAGAAAGGTGTATGCCTCTTTAACATAGGGATAATGGGTTCGATCCCTGATCGGGTCACGACCATCCTTCCTTCATATGACACCAGTACTGGTTTGTTCCAGGAAGCTGACTCAAAAGTGATTAAAATAAGTTGCAAAAAATTGTTCCGCAATAAAGCTTAAAAATCATTTTATGATCTAAAAATAGCTGCAATCAGTAGTCAACAAAACAAATTATTATATGATGTTGCCTGCCTAAAAAAAATGTGTTCGGGATACCTGAAGGCTTTTTTGTTGTTGTTTTCATTTTCATATATTAACAAATTACATTAATGAATATATGCATGTATCCATTTTGAAATTATATCGTGACAACTTACCATGGAACCTTGTCCAACACGATCTTGTCCAAGATATACAATAACAACTCCGGTTTCCTCGCGCTCACCTTTACTGTAAAATGGTGCCGCTACCAGGAGATCGTCCAATCCGTCATTATTCACGTCAACTGTACACAGAGAAGCTCCAAAGTAGCCATTCACAGGAATCTATAAAATGAAACAGAAAAACAAAATAACGGAACAAACTGTTTATTTTACTAGTATTTAATGTGATTCATGATTTATTATGTTCCCCGTCTTCGTTTAGGGTATTTTCCTCTTTACTACCGTTTATCAGTTTTTTTTCTTTTTTCGCGGGTATCTTATTTTAGCTATATTTCCGTGCACTAGATATCGTGAAAAAATCGATCGATCAGATTCAGTTAAATAGTATACGAGAAATTGACAAGTTCTGTAATTGTGTTTCCTACTTTCATTTTGCAAAATCCGGTAATATTACATTACCGTGAAATCGCCAAATGTGTCAAACATAAAAACAAACCATATACGTATTTTATGCATGGTTTTAAATACATTGTCATCCATTCTATGATATTTTGTTACAATAATTTAAAACAATAACTGAAATTATCCACCATAATACACATGGACAGTAACCAAACGGACGGACATACCAGAGGACGCATGCTTCTTATGTAAAACAACAATTTTCAGTGTAATGTAAAACTGATAATGTGACGCGTACAAAAAAAGTTCGTATTACAAAAAAGAAGAAAAATCGAAAATTGAATATATTTATCAATTCGATTTTATTCGTTTTTTTAAAGTTCATCTAAATAATAGATATACGAGGGTGTCCAAATTGTCATGGAAGTCGATGCGTTATGTAAGAAGGTATTTAAAAAGCGCCAAAATGATTATCGCATTCCTTCAGAGTTCTCTCCAACATGTACTTAAATTCAATTAACAACTGCATTTGGTGGTCATTTTTATGGAAACCATGAAGATACTGGAATATGGCTGACCGATGATCACTACAGGTCCATTATTTTCTTCCAGCAAGATCCTTTTTTTACTCTTGGAAATAGAAAGAAAAATCACAGGGGCAATATCTGGTGAATACGGAAGCCCATTCCCCTTTTCTGCATTAGAAAGTCACGTACAATGGCCGCATTGTTGCCGGAAACATTGTCGTGCAACAGCCTGATACCACACAGACCCGTCGCTGGCCTTTGTTTTTTCTCGTTTTTCTATAAAACTTGACATTTATAGTGTGTCCTTTTTGTGAAGCAAGCTTTTAAGCAGGACCTTGATTGGTATCGAAATTGTCACCCCATGACCTTTCTGACACTCATGAAACGCTAAGCTATGCATGACTGTTTCGTGTGATTGGTAGGCCATATTTATTGTGCACATAATATTTTTTCA